AATCATGATCTGGGCACTAAGTATGCTCAATTGTTATTGCTTCAGTAAGACAGACCTAGAAAATACAGTGTACTCATATTTCCATTTAAAGTTAGTGCCCTGGCAGAGATTCTTACCTTTTTTCATTTTATATTATTTATGGGACGTAAAAAAAGTTCCTCTTTAAAGTTTCCTTTCTTGTTTAAGAAAAATTCATAAGTGTTAGAAATAATAGTTTGATTTAAACACTTTCTTCAAAAGCCTTCTTGACTTTCTGCTAAAAGCCCTATCCTATGTAGCTGTTAGACATTCTTACAGGCATGTAGTCCATTCTATGTCCTTGTATGTTAACCAAATATCTGCTCTGGACGTGCTCACAAGCATGTCCCAGCTCACAGCCTATGTCCCTTCCTTATTTGGACTTCCTTTTTTTTTTTTTTTTTGCTCTCTATTGCTTTTACCTAATTAGAAAAGTTTCAAGTTATTGGCCAATTGGGTTTTAGTTTAGATTGTGAGGTCTGGCTCCAGCCAATGGAGATCAGACACAGCAGTCAGGACAACCCCAAATGCATAAGAAATAAATACGTCTTCTTTCCTTTGTTCATTGTACTCTCGTGGCAGGATTGCTAGTGGGGCTACCCTTTCTGCAGGAAGTAAAAAGAATTGCTTTGATGAGAGATCCTTTGTCCCAGTACTAATTTTTCTTTGCAACACCAAAAAGAAAAATTGTATACACGACATTATTTTATTTATTTATTTTTATTTTTATTGAGACGGGGTGTCACTCTGTCACCCAGGCTGGAGTGCAGTGGTGCAGTCTCAGCTCACTGCAACCTCTGCCTCCTGGGTTCAAGTGATTCTCCTGCCTCAGCCTCTTTAGTAGCTAGAATTACAGGTGCACACCACTACGCCCAGCTAATTTTTTGTATTTTTAGTAGAGACAGGGCTTTACCATGTTGGCCAGGCTGGTCTCGAATTCCTGATCTCAAGTGATTCTCCTATCTCAGCCACCCAAAGTGCTAGGATTACAGGCGTGAGCCCCTGTGTCTGGCCCCTTCTTTCATTTTATACTTTTATATACACTATGCTCAAGTGACCCTCCTGCCATGGCCTCTGATATGGTTTGGCTGTGTCCCTACCGAA